GATAACACGGAAAAAAGAAGCGCGCGACCTCACCCTATGTGGAAAACGCTCAGCATAAAGACTGATAGCATCATTAACATTCCTACGACATTCTCCATAAATCAAAATAATTTCGATTTTCTCTTCTACAGATAAATAATCCATACCTGTGGAGTGTAAGAATAGCACGAATCGAAAGTTAGTCGCAATACGAAATGGAAAATGCTTCAAAAGTATGAAAAAATAATTTGTTGAAATAACTCGACTACAATAGTGCTATTTATCGAGACTCGTCCTACACAGTTTGAAAGTTTGTGTTCCACTTTGTGTTAGTCATAAATTATGTTATTTTAATACTACGAAATGTTAAATAATTATTCAACACGAAATATTCAAATAACATAATCACATTACTTGGATATGTTAAGAATTTAACACTAAATTTTGAAAGATCGTGAGTGAAATGACCACTTGGAAATGACCACGTCGAAATGACGACTAAAACCTCTTGAATTTTTAACATCATCATTTGTATAACATTTGTAAAGGTCAAGGCCATTGGAGATTGTAACTTTTATTTTCATTTTTTAGTTAAAACGGATAAAAAATTATCGTAGATATTTACGATAATTCGAAAAAACATGTTTCCGACAAAAGTTACTTTTCCTTGACGTAGCGTCATTATAGAGGATTGCCTTTGAAGAAAACGAAGGTTACCCAATTTTCGCCGAATGCAGCGCCATCTATCAGAAATAGGAAAAAAAAGTTCAGACGAAAATTACGTGTTTTTGGATGAAGAATCCGAATCTGTAATAAAAAGTAGGGGTTCCTATTTAAGATTTCAAAGTTACCCCCCGCCCCATCCCTAGGGGGTGCGGGAAGTGGATAATTTTTGTGGGATTGAATTGCGCCCTGGAAACTATTGAGGCTTTATTTGGGACATTTTTGTCGTACAATGCTTATTTTTCGAAATATTTAGCAGTCTCAAGTTAAAAAAAACACCCTGTATATACAGGGTGGACCATTTTAATCCATCCAGTCGAATATGTCGAAAACCAAGCACGGGAGAGAAAAATGTTTCAGACAAAAATTGTAAGGCTTAAAAAAACGCATTCAACAATAGTAGTTATTTGACATAGGATGGCGTCGCCAAGGTCAGAACAAGGTCAACTTTACGTTTTTAAACAGAAATACATATTTTTTGTTACGGCATTTTATTCAACGTAAAAACGCAAATAACTTTTGCTTGAAAA